CCATCTTTCAATTAACGTTACCCTGCTTAACAGTCTACAGGTTATTTTTAATAAAGGCTAATTTACTTGGGAATGTAAAGTATGTTATAAATTACAGCATACTGTATGTGCAATATTAAAGTCAAGGGTTTGATTGTAATAATCAAGCCCTTTACTGATTTTTTTTTGATGTATCATTAAGTATAGTGATTGTACCCAGTGCTCTGAAGTTAGCTAAAATCTTCCCAATACCTACCTTCTTCAATTAATACCCAGTCCCAATGGAGGTCTAATGCATCCACTTAAAAATTGTTGCCCAGTTTTTCTGAATTAATGAGATAATAGAATGAATTTATGAATTTATTATGTCATTAATTCAGTAAAACAAAAGCAGAATTGTTTTCTCATGTGTATGTTTAACGCTTCCACTAATTCTTCCCTGTTTTTCCAAGATCTCAGAAAAACCTGACAAGAGACCTCTAAATCTTTTGAGTAAAGACAATATAATCTGTAATATATGATGTGGACATGTTTGATACAATATCAACAAAAAACAACAAACTCTTGGAATAGTCCTCAGTCCTTCAAAACCTTCCAGGACAGTTAAACCAATAGATATTTGCTTGGTAACTTATCCTGATACAGTTCAAGAGACACAGTTGAAATCACTGTCACTATACAATTTGGGTATTGTTTGTCATTGCCAGTACTGAATTGTTGCACAGCTCTACAGCTGATCTGACAAATGATGTAATTAGGTTTTTAAGGATTATAGGAACTGATGTGATGCTGCCTCAGTGGTTTTCCCACATTTATCTAACTGACACTGTAAAATAGTTATTTGCTGCATCTGTTTGTGTCTCTGTTACAGGCGTCTGCAGGAGAGGGAGAGGATCGGGGAGTTAGGTTGTCCTGAAGTTTGGGGATATTCACCCAGAGTGAAGGAGCCAGAGTGAGTTGAGATGCTCCTTCACTGTCTGCAACACATTTATTGTATTATGTTGTTTTTTAGAAGTACTAGAGTTTGTTTCTCTAGAGCGAAACACCTCGCTCTCCTCTTTGTGTGTTCGGGTGCAGAAAGCATGAATTTCTTTCTCTGTTTTTCACCAGCTCTGATGAGTTCACACCAGTTGAAGAAGACGAGAAAAACAGCAGCTCAGAGTCGAGCTCAGAAGGTAGAGCAGGCACAGTGTTTGAACATGATTAAATAACTGTGATATTTAATGCTGATTGAATTTACAAATAATTCTGTCTCATTCACAGAAGAAAGGAAGAAGAAAAAGAAGAAGAAGAAATCCAAGAAGAAGAAGAACAAGAAACACTCAGAGGACAGCGAGCTGGAGTCAGATTCAGATGGTATCCCAATTTAATTGTCATAGTGTAATAACATGAAGTCTTTCTCCATGAGTTTCATCAGCTCAACTGTCATGTTATTATCTTTCAGAGGAAGAAATAAAGAAGAAGAAAAAGAAAAAGAAGAGCAAGAAGTAAGTGCCAACCTCCAACTAAATACCAGCTTCATTCACACAGAAAAAAGGGGCATCAGATTAACAAAACATCCCACGTTTCTTAACAGGTCGAAGAAGTCCAAGAAGAAGAAGGCGAAGAAGAGCCGCAAGGAGTCCAGCAACTCCAGCAGTGAAGAGTCAGAGGAGGAGGAGGAGGATCCCAACGGGGTGATGTGGGTGGAGAAAACCTGCATGGATGAACACGTGGTCGGCCCCGAAGCTCCGCTCACACATTTGTCGCAGGACGACCGACCTTTGGAGTGAGTCTGTTCAGCTGTTGCACTTTATGTGACGTTACTAACACAGTTTACAGCACTGCAACTAGAATTTACACAATAAAAACACTGCAGAGGGTTTTCTGGTAACACCTAATGTTCGCAAACTCTCTGTAGTTATTCTGTTTCAGTATAGTTTAGAGCAAAATAAATGTGACTCAATCATGTTTTTACCATTAAAAATGTACCTGAAAGCACCACTGTGCAGCCTCACAGACATGCTAACAAGGCTGTGGACTTTTAGGCTCGTAAATTCAGTGATTCCAGCGAATGAAATGTGACTGTTTGCTGTTTTTCTTTAGCCCTGTTTCCACCAAACACTTTCGGTATGCTACCTTTGGAACCAAAAGTAACCCTTCAGACATGGTACTTAGACCCTTCACTGCAAACAGTACCCTTAAATGTGGGCAGGGTTGTTGTCACTCACTGCTCCGCCCAGCACTCACTGTATTTACTCCTTTCCTCAGTCTTTACCAGTTAAATATAGCAGGTTTGTGCATTTAGTCCTTCTCCTCCAAGACTTGTTCACGTTCTTTCGCCTCCCTGTAGTCCCCTCCATGTTTACTGTCTACGCAGTTGGGTGCTGGAAATAGTGCAGCTGTGGTTGTTGGCAATGTTCATGTCATTCAATGTCAGTATCTGTATGAGCCAAGACTAAAAACTAGGATAATATTAAACATGTTGATTTTGTTGGAACGTCAAGGTGAGATAAAGACTGACTTAGGACTCTCGGTTTTATGATCACCTTACACAAAACTATGGAGATCATAGGAGCGTGCACCACCTGAGATAAAATGCTTGAGCTTATTCTGAGATTGGAAATATGTATGCGACAATAAAATCGCATGGCAAGAAGCTTGCTGAAAGGCCGGCAATTGGACAAACAAGACATTTAAAAAGGTCAGCTTGGACAGTCGGAACTGTTGATGTCCATTTTTTCACCATTTTCCTACATGTCGTTGGTCAAACAGTCAATAAAATTATCTGCAGGATGATGAAATTAATCATTAGTTGCAGTTGTTGCTTTGCAGTATCACTGGCAGTGGTATGAGCTCTGCTAAGAATAAGCAAAAGCTCCTCCCTAACTCAAGTTTAACAAGTGCATTTTTCCTCTTCTCCCAGTTTTGGTCATGCACTGTTGCCAGGTGAAGGTGCTGCGATGGCGGAGTACGTGAAAGCAGGCAAACGTATCCCCAGAAGAGGTGAGATCGGTCTCACCAGCGATGAGATCGCAAACTTCGAGAAGTCTGGCTACGTGATGAGCGGCAGCAGGTACGTGATGTTTAGAAATACAACTCTATTTTATCACCATGGCTGTGAAATGATTTGTACGGCAGCAGTTCAATAGCTGCTGATGTTTCAGATGTCATTACTGTTACACTGACATATTTGACATGTAACCCCGCAGACATCGCCGTATGGAGGCCGTGCGTCTGAGAAAGGAAAACCAGATCTACAGTGCAGACGAGAAGAGAGCGCTGGCGTCCTTCAACCAGGAGGAGAGGAGGAAGAGAGAGAGCAAGATCCTGTCGAGCTTCAGGGAGATGGTGTACAGGAAGACCAAAGGCAAGGAGGAGAAGTGACATCACACATCTCTACAGATCAGAAAACACCTTTACTTCCTGTCTTGACGTATTAATGTTTTATTTTTTTGGAGGATGAATATATTCAGTTTAAACCGAATGTAAACTGTGGAGAGAGAATTTTAATTGTAAAGATATGTGTTGAATGAGTCTGAGAAGTTTTCTGTTGTATTATATTCTCCATCATATCTACTCACTGGAATTAGTCTCTGCAGTGTTCAACCTTAATTTTCTGTTGTAAATATTTTGTGAATGATCCTGATTAAAATGGTTGATAAATTCGCATCACCAGGCTGTAGTTTTCACAGTTCTTTTTCATAGTTGTGGTTGCACTAAGAGATAAACATTTACAGTAATTCTGAAGCAAAAAAGGAAAGATAAGAAAAACTTAACATTGTGTTTAACATTTTTTTGTCTTTCCTATTCAGATTTATCTTTCAACTCCTTATTCTGTTGTTCTGAGACACAGTTTAAGAGCAATCTTTTAATTAATAGTCATTTGATTTCCTTGTTTACCTGAGCTTCTAATTGTAAATATTTCAGCTGGATAACTTTCAGTGTAGCTCACTGATAGTTTAGTAACCAGACCTAAATGAAATCTGCAGATTTTTCTTACAGTTCTTAGCAATCCAGAATGAAAATCTGTTGAATCCTGCACAATGTTTTGTTTGCTTATATCATGAAACATATATTAAAAAACTTTTTTTTTCTAAACCTGCGCCGATGTCTTCAGAATTTGTGGGTGTGGATTCAGTGTTCGAGTTTTACTTGCTCAAATACCTCCATATATTTGGAATATGACTCTATTTCAACTGGACTCTTTTAATCAATGAATCAGTTGAAAATTCTCTGTTAAATGTCAGAGTTCTGAAAAATGCTCCTCAAAACCAAAAGTAACATCTTCAAATGTCTTGAGATGAATGAACAAACTCAAAAACTTTCAACTGATGAAATAAAACGTTGAAAAGCAGCAATTTGTCGCATTGGAGATGCAATTATGTAAATAGTTGCTGATTTATTTTCAGCTCTGTTGGCAGGCAGAGGGACTCCGTGTGCTATGAAAAATTTAATTAGTTTGGAGAGTTTTCATTTTGCTGATGAGAAGAAAACATTTAAAGGAGCACTTCACCCACAAAATAACTATTTGTATATCAGTTAGTCATGACAGGTTACCTTGAATTTGTGAAGAGAACTTTAAATCGCTCACATCCTCCATGAACAATGGCAAATATATTTTTGTACTGGAGTCTAGCTTTGAAGATGGCAAGATTAGTTTTACCTTCACTTCAGTTTTAAATAGTACGGTTTTAGTGAAAATGCAAGTGTTTGAAAAGCACTGAGCATACGGATGGTTAAATGAGATTTCATTTATACTGAACGAGTTTTGTGAGAGTTTATAAGTAGATGATTTGATAGTTTTGCTTTTGTGAGTTATAGTTTTGTTTGTTTCTGTAGACAAGTTTTTTTCACACAGTGTAACACAGCACGACAAATTGATTTACAAATAGTCATTTTATGGGTAAAGTCTTCCTTTAAGCTGTATCACAACTACATATCTCAGACAATGTCTAATCTTACTGCAGATATTGATATGTTTCTAAACTGCAACACTGAATTATCACCTGAACAGGAAACATGACACCTAACAGTATATGAACAGTTGCAAAATATTTATTTGATCAGAGCATCAATCTCTTGTCAGCTGCTTTTGAAATTAAACATATGAGCCAAGAAGTCTCAGAATATTTCCACAGTGGAACATTTTAATGGACAAGAGACAAGTGTCTTAAAAGACTGAAAAAACAAACAGCTGGATGTTAAATATAATCTTTTATTGTACAACTTTCTTCTCATCAGGGTCTCCACATTCCTCGTCATCAGTTGATGTTCTCAAGTCCCTGTGGGGAAAAACAAAAGAGTATCAAAACTAAAGTCTTTTACAATTACAAAACATGGCATCATTTTCATTAACCGACCTTTTTTTCTAGTTGTTTTTGACATTTCTCTGCCGTCCATACAGCTTTTTGTTATAGTTCATTCACTGAATGAAACTCATGTTGCACAAACTAGAAACTTAACGGAAATGATAATGACCATGTCGTACACACTGTCCTCTCACACAGGTGTTTGATCACACTTCTTCTACCACTGCACCCCCCTGTGTGGGTGCTTTTCAACATAAATGGGTTTTGGTGACCTCAAGTAGTTTCTAGCAAAGCTCTGTCCACCTTGAACCTGAGCAGAGGCATAATCAGCCAAATATAAAAAAAAAACACCACGTGTGTGTTTGTGTTGATTTAATTGGTTTAAGTAGTCTGTTTTGTAGTCTGACTGAGTGAGGTTTAGTGGTCTATTGGAAATAACTCTCCTTTTAATGATTTCACATTTATTTGAAGAAAGGTATTCGCACACCCAACTGTCTCAGATGCAGGTACACTGGAAAATAGCACTTGAATCTTTGAACAAACAATCCTTCACACTGCTCTCGCTCAGCTTCACAATTTATTGTAACACTAACATTTCGGTCCTCCTGGACCTGTTGAACACTCGACAAAGGTCCTGCAGGACAGAAAGATTAGTGTTACTAATAAATTGTGGAGCTGAGCAAGAGCAGTGTGTGAGATTTTCTGTTCAAAGACTCAAATGATTGTATATTTGAATTTTTACTTCAACAAATAAAGGGGGAAAAAAAAGAATTAAAAAGAAACATTACATCATCCAATATTACCTACAATTTCCCCAATAAAAGCTTTAATTGTTTCCATTAACACTCAGATATGTGATTATCATAACATAATTCATTTTAAGATTTGAGAGCAGCCTCATGTTTTTATTATCATTATTTTCATAGCTCATGAACACAACAAAGTTCAGCAGCTGACACTCAAACTGTGGTTTTAGGTGGATTTTACCTCCCCAAAATAATGTCATCATTATACCAGACTTTTTTCAAATATGTTGCAGCTTCTGCCCCATGAAACAGTGACTTAACTTTAACTAAACTAAAAAAGCAATTTTGAGTTATTTATGTAAATAAGTCTAAAGATTACTGGCAGATTTTGATGGCATGCTGATGTACATGTTCCTGCAAGTTACAAATAACTTCTGCTTTTAATCGAACCTGTTTTTGCAATGTGTTGATGGTAGTGCAAATGTAAGTGGTGGACAGTGCAGGTATTGCAATGTAAGGTGATTAAATGAGAGTGTAAGAGCAGTGTAGGAGTAATGAATACTTTGCTATGGATAATATAAATGCAACTGAAGATAAATATATGTACAGATGCCAATGCAAATAAACATTTTTTTAATTTGATTATTTTTTATAGAAGGTGCTTAATAGTAAAAACTTTGTTGAGCAAGGTAATAGGGATGCTGGTAAAAATAAAATTCAAACAGAAGACGAATATTGTACATAAAGACACTTGTGACGTCAGTTAATAGCTGAGAGACAGCCCAACTAAAGAAACTAGTGACTAGGTGGAGGGTGAGGGAGTGTATACAAAATAAAACAGCACGAAACAATACGCTTTCTGTGCAAATAACACACATTTCAAAGAAGAAGTTTCCTTGTAAAAGATTATAATACCATAGTTATAGACACATGGACACTTGCCTTGGAATCATAGTGTCGTCCTGTTCCCGACACTCGCCTGTCTCTCTCCAACAGGTACCACTGCCACGGCTGCCGGACAATCCTCTTTTCCTACAAAAAAAATAAGTACTACTTTAATTAAGTAGTTTAGAGGACAAAACACTGACATGTTTGCTACATGTTAGCATGGTCAGAGCCACATTAGCGTCCAGCATCCTCCTCACCTTCCCTCCGTTGGTGCCCTTGTGGATCCAGGCTGTGGCGACGCCAGGAATGATCATACACACGGTCATGATGCCGAAGCTGGGCAGGATTTCATACCACATGATTGCAGCTGGTAACTGTCATGCGACAGAGAGCAACTATAATGACAACCAAGTTGCCCAAAGACTATCTCCGATGGTTTATTTTGCTAAGAAGCTAACAAAATGTCGCCTCTCCTGACGACCTATGTTCCGCAAGCAGAAGAAGACAAATACTTCCTGTCGGGGTTTTCAAAAGAAAAGCAAAAGCTCTGTAAAGATGATGAAAATCGCCATTATTGTAACAAAAAATAGAGTAATATGCCGTCAAACGTTAGTGTACATTCCGGGAAATAGTTTATGTTTATATATTTGTTGAAAGATTGCTTCCACAGGTAAATAGAGGAAGTACAGTTTAGACTACAAATGGATTTTTTAGAGAAACGTTTACTTTGCAACGAATATACCGTGTACCGCTGTTTTTGGATTAAATTAACATAATGGCATCAGATACTGACTGAGAACTTGCTTAGTCGATGTGACAATCGGTGTCAAATACAATATAAACCGCTCAAAAACATTAACTTAAACTTGCAAGCTTTTATTTCGAAGGGCACCTGAAAAGGGGAAGCTTCATTTTGCTGGTTTCGATGTTCCTTTTTTTATTTATCAAAACGACGAAATATAACATACCAGTCAAATTTCTAACAAACAAACGAAACAGTCAGGAACAAATGGACAAAAAATAAATTTAATCATGATTTAAAATTCACTTTATACGCTTCTTTTGTACAACGGTTTTCATTCACAGCGCCCCCGCACGGCGGTAAGGCGGAAGTGCAGGCCCAACGGTCAGAGAGGAAGTTAAGGTTAGTTCGTTTGCTACTAGCCGGCTAACTTGCTAAAAAAGTAAACAAGTCTGCGGAATGAGGTGAAATACAACCGCGGGACGAAGCTTTTCAACTATGAAGGAAGACAAGGAAAACGCTCGGCCCAAGGAGAGAAAGGTGGAAATAAAGTGTGAAGATGGAGAAAAGACGGAGAAGTCCAAGGAAAAGAAAGAGGCCATGACAAAGGTAAAACTTGCTAGCTGTGTTAGCTACGGTTGCTACAAACCGTCAGTTATGGATATTTCTAGTTTCATGAAATAACAGGATGTTTTAAAATAGCTTTGTTTTGTCAGATACAACATGCTTAGTCTACTTTTGTAATTTATATAGTGAGGAAGACAGATTTTCACCTGGGCAACCAAAACTTAATGTTATTATTAGTTAACTGTTTTCATTTCCTCAGTCTGACAGTTCTCCCAATTATAGTAATATCTTCACCTGTCAAAAATGTTTCCTTTAGATCGTGATCAGACGATTACCACCTAGTCTGACCAAGGAGGAGCTGGAGGAGCAGTTGCAGCCTCTCCCAGAGGTGGACTACCTGGAATTCTTCTCCAATGACACCAGGTGAGTTAGTATAAAGACGCTGCATCATTAAAAAAAAGTCATATAAGTGTCTCCAACGGTGTAACCTGGCATGAGTTTTCTTTCCTTTCAGCCTGTACCCTCACCTCTTTGCAAGGGCTTACATAAACTTCAAAAACCAAGAGGATATTGTTCTCTTCAGAGATCGATTTGATGGATACGTGTTCATTGACAGCAGAGGTATGAAGAGCACACATTTACAGCTTAAAAGACAACCTGGAGAATTTTCTCAGACCTTAGTTGAGGCTTCATGCTTGTCTTCATGTTGTTTTTAACAGGACAGGAGTATCCTGCCATCGTGGAGTTTGCACCTTTCCAAAAGACGGCCAAGAAAAGAAGCAAGAAGAAGGATGCAAAGTGTGGAACAATTACTGAAGGTAGAGACATTTACTCGTAAAGGTTATGTTAAGATAGAAAAGTAAGATTTGATGATGGTGGAGTTGAGTAGGACTTGGCATTTATTCATCAAAGAGTCCTGTAAAAAGTCTGGATTAATGCTTGTGGTAGTACTGTTCTTAAGATGATGGCTCTGTTTGACCAAAAATAGCTCTAAAATAAGTTGCGCCATATTAAGCTACAGATAAGCAGTCTTAACAGGAGCAGCAATATGTCTTTATATGTATGTTGTATATTTTCTTTCAGATCCTGATTACAAGAAGTTTCTTGAATTTTACAATGGTGATGAAGACAAGTTGGCATCAACACCTGAGACCCTGCTGGAAGAGATTGAGGCAAAGTCAAAGGAACTTGTTGGTAGGTGAACAGTCCCTTAAATTTAAAATATGCACCTGAAAGATCATTGTATGAATATTGAAACAGACACACTGCTGGAGTGATTCATTTAAACATATTTTTCCCCCCTTCAAGCTAAAAAAACAACTCCTCTGCTGGACTTCCTGAAGAATAAACAGGTAAATTAACATTGTGGTGTTCCTAGTTGTGATTTTTTTAGTTGCATGATGAAAGCTGGCCTCATATTCTCTTTAAATGCTGTACAGAGAATAAGGGAGGAAAAGAAAGAGGAGAGAAGAAGGAGGGAGCTTGAACGCAAGCGTCTGCGTGACGAAGAGCGTCGCAAGTGGAGGGAGGAGGAGAGAAGGAAGCGCAAAGAGGCCGATAAGATGAAGAGACTTGAGAAACCACTGGAGAAAGATAAGGACCAAGTTAAAGAGGAACCAAAGATTAAGGTATGTGCTGCAGTGGACTGAAGTGATTAAAGATAGTGTGTCATTTTCAATATCTCATAAGAATTTTGTCTTAATTTTCAACTGTGAAGCTCCTGAAGAAGCCTGACAGAGGGGAGGATGCTGATTCTGAAAAGCCCAAGGAAAAGGCCAAGAAGCCAGAGAGGCCGAATAAAGAGGAGAGATCCACAGGGAGCAGTGATCATAAGAGGCGTCAGCACGGTGAAAACAAGGAGGATCGAGGAAGGAAGTTAGTTGGATTCATTTATTTTTTTAAATACATTTCTCACTATGAGCAGAATGCTTATACCAGATTTGTGCTTTACACACAGAGGGGACGAAGATGGGAGGAAGGAGTTCAGGGAGCGTGACCCAGATCGAGATAGAGAGCGCGATCGGGAGAAGGAGAGGCGGCAGAGAGAGAAGGAGCGCATCAGGCGACAGGACGAAGATCGGCGGAGAAGGAGGGAACGGCAGGATGGAGAGAACTCATGCAGGAAACGGGAGGATGAGGTCAAAAAAGATAAAGAGCGTGTCTTGGAGAAGAAAAAGGGTGATAACACTGGAGACTCCGCTCACTCTGAGAGGCCTGAGAAACCTGCCAAAGACAAGAAGGAGGACAGTGGTAAAAGAGAGCGACTGAGAAATAAGGTAACGACCCCAGCCTCTTAAATCAAGTCATTTTTGTAAGTATTTTCAGTTTGTCTAAGAGAGTTGTTTCTTTGCATCAGGACCGTCCTGCGATTCAGCTGTACCAGCCAGGAGCAAGAAGCCGAAATCGAGGTGGAGGAGGAGGAGGAGGAGGAGGAGGAGGAGGAGCAGAATCCAGCCCCGCTGACAGGAAGCCAGACACTGAGACCCAAAAAGTGGCTGACAAAGGAGACGATTGAGCAGATTTCTACTTATGGCATTTTAAGTTTGGTGAGGAGAGGGGAGACAGGCCTGTGAGGCTCAGAGCAGCGCTGTGGCGCCTCAGGGTGACACGCACTGCATTTCAAGCAGGGCTGCATCCGGCTCTCCCGGTCTCAGAGGCAGAGATGCGATTGTGGAGCCTCTTAGTGCCTGAATGTGACCCTCTTTAGTTTAATTTGTTAGGAGAGGTAACAGTAACCTTTGGAAAGAGTTTGGCTGCAGGGCACACTGGGCGGAGCCAAAGCTTTCTTGGACCATATGAGCTCAAAGTGACCTTATTTCAGTATTGTTTCTCCAATGTTAGGTGTCATACACACGACAACATGTCAGTTCATATCACAGGTGTAAACCTACCAATTACTCAACATGTCAGCATTGCCAAGCCCATCAGTATTGTTTATACACTGTCTCGATATCTGTTGTTGCATTGCCATTTTCAGTTTGAAGTGTACACATTGAAGTTACATCTTACTCTGCCCGGGGGTTAGACAATCCTAATGTATGTGCAGAGCTTTAATTCAAAGCTTTCATGGTCTGTAACTGTAAAACCGCCTCAGACACAACAGTCTGTGCTCACCTGGTTTGGGATCATGTGTTTTGTTCATACAGTGACCGAGGAGAAATAGCCATTCCTGCCTAGACTGCCATGTGACAGCCTCGCCTGCATGCAGACCTTAATCAGAGATATCAACCTGTGGCCTTTCCCCCTTTTTTCTAATGTGAAACTCCCCTTAAACATTAACGTGTGATGCACTAAACTGAATGCAGCATGAGAACGCATCCCTGCTGGTGATGCTAACATACAGTTGCTACTTTTGACTGGAAATAAAAGAGGCCTTTGCTAATGTGTACATGTCTTGTTTTTCCTCTTTTTAATTTATTTTTGTTTTAAGTTAAAGGCTTTTGAGCTATTTGATAACACTGCACCTCATCCTCCATTTAACTAGGCTATGTAGGCCTAATTAGCTGCTGAGAATAGACTTGAATCTTTGGGACTGGGGCAGAAAGTTCCTGTCAGGCCCCTGCTGACCACCTCAGAATACTCCTGTATTATTTAATTATATTTAACAAAGTTGAGTATGTATTATTTGAGCACTATATGTGACAACGGGTCCTTCTCTCATGCCCACATAATGACCTTATGATGCAGATCCAGCTTTAGCCAACTGCTAACAGTGGTGCACATTACCAAACAAATGTGCAATTATTACATTTACCAAAACAAAACTGACATGGAGTAAATCTTGGGTTTTTGTTGGATCCTTTAGTCCAAAACATTTTGATCTGTTCATATAAACAGTCACACTGAATACATTTTACTTTTTTGGTATCCGAATATTCTCCAGATATCCCATCAGTAATGGGAAATAGGACTTAATCAGAGGGGATTAGCCCCTGGCAGTTGTGGAAGCAGAACTCAGATCCTAATGTATATGTATATATATATATAGTTACTGGTATACCAAGATATAAAAAGTACTGAAGTACACCATTAAAGTGTCAAAAGTAGAAGCACCGACATAGATGGCTCTTTTCAAAGTTTCATTTAATGCATTAAGTTGAGTTTCAGTATTGCAGGAGATGGAAATGGAGCCAGTTTTAACCACTTTAAATATTGTTGGCTACTCTCATCTGTAGTAATGTATCTTTTTAATGAGCTTTTCATTGGTTTGTATGTTTATTTTTATCTGCAAAGTAGCTACAGCTGTCAGAGGAGTAAACAGTGCAATGATTCCCTCTGAATTGTAGTGGAGTATAAGCATTAAGTAGCATGAAATATACTCAAGTATAGTGCATACACCTCAGGATTGTATATAAGTTTTTGTATTACCAGTGTCCACACAATGTATCTGGTGGTTAATACATTCAATTTGCATACAAAGTCAAAAGCGATGATTGTAAACCATAAATGAGAATAATGTAATAAATGAGCAAAATCTTCAGTAATAAATGAAATCATACAAAACCAAATAAATAAAACAGAATAAAATAAAGCCACAAGTATGAGCACACACAATCAGGGGTTTAGCTAATTGGTCATAAAGCTGTAAAATATGCATTAATCAGTCGCTTAGTTATTTTTTATGACATATTTTTAAGTTTTATATTGTTTTTTTTTTTTTTTTTTTTTTTAAATATTAATTTCAAAAAGCAACTCTCTGATTTGTTGGGCAGCATCACCATCAAGAGTCTGGTCTGTCTATTAATATTTTGCAGGTGGTACTGTTTAAGTGAATGTCTAATTAAAGTATTATTGATTTTTTTTTGTCCATAATTGAGATTCCATCCACATTAATGCTGTAACTGACTACAGTAATATTGTCATACATATTTGAGTTGCAGTGTGATGAGGTTATGAAGCCAGTTGGCAGAATTGTATTAAAGTAATCGCATCAAACCTGAAGCTCCTCAGGTGTAGTAACCCAACTCGCCTCGTGGTGTCGCTGTGTGTAGAACTCGCAGCCCGCTCGGCGGACGCTGATTGGATAAAAGAGCCGACGTCACTTCCTTCTTCCTCTTCTACTACCGCCATAGTTCGTGAAAGGACTGTGGACAAAATGGTAAATACAAAATCTTTAACCATCCGTGTCAGCAGCCCCTGTAAACCTGTACAGATGTATTGTATGATTAATAAATATCTCATTGGTGCCTTATAAATCTGTATGTCGTGTAAAAAGAAGGAATATGAGCGTATTAAAGTTGCTCGATGTTGCTACCCGGTACCCACTCTGTAGAGCTACGCATGTTAGCCTGTGACTTCCTTCATATGGGTTACCTGCTAGCTTGTTCAGTTTTACGTTATTTGCCTTGAATATGTTCCTTTTGAATGTAGCACTCATTTCATAAAAGGTAGAAATATTGTGCATTGATGTGGTATTAATGGCGCTCTCTGTTGTTTGTAGTCGTCCCACAAGACTTTCAGGATCAAGCGCTTCCTCGCCAAGAAGCAGAAACAGAACAGGCCCATTCCCCAGTGGATCAGAATGAAGACTGGCAACAAGATCAGGTCAGTTTCTAATGTGTGTTATTGTGTGCAGAGAACCGTATTAAGTAGGGATGCTGTGTGCTGAAGGCTAACAGTCTGTGCATGTGGACGCTGCGTGTGTATATGACTAGATAAGGTGTACCTGTATTGATCCTCTGTGGGGACATTAGGCTTTTACAACAGAATGAACAGAAGTACAAGCAAGTACAGAAGGAAGTAGATTATTTAAAATGAGAATAGAGCAAAAACAAACAATTCAACATTTGGAGGCAAATAATAGGATGGAGTGACAGTGTGATCAGTAGCTGCAGACTTAGTAAGTCAATGTAAACGGTACACCTGATTAAAGTACAACCAAGTAATGGTGCTCAGTGTTTGTATTATTATAATAGAATGTAATGCAATAGTCAGTTTTATATTAACATAATATAGTATAACATGGTTTATGATATAGTAAAGGATGAGAAATAGCAAAAGTTGAATTGTCATGACACATTTTAATGTAAAGTATAGTACCTCAATATAACATTGTATATAGTGCAGCAGTAGCACATACTTTAAAGAATATCCTAGTGTGTTGAGCCCCAGTAATTCACTCCTATTTATACCATTTGCCAGTTAATGAGGTACATTTACTTGCGTTAATACACTCTACCAGAATAACTGTGCAATAATTTCCATCTGTCATTTTAATGTTCAGTTAGGATGAAAAAGATGCTCACAAACACTGTCAGGATAGGAAGTTACTAAATGACAACACACAATGGACTACTCTCGATAGTAAATTTACTTCAATGCTTTATGCAGAATACAGGTGTTTTGCACAATTTCTCAGATACTGGGCATTTTGTCCATTACACATATATTTACAAGTTAGGACTACACAGGCGCCAAAAAACAAAGATAAAGCAATATGAGTCACAGTTTTAGTGGGAATGGTAATTGTACATGTCACTTTCACTTGGAGAATAAAAAGAGCCAAAGAGGCATGTTACCTTACCACTATAATATGTGTATATATGTGTCTCTTTAGCACCACAATGCTTCATTTACAATGATATATTGTGACATATTTTACCTTTTATTTAAAAAAAACTGCATCTCCTGTGGTTTTGATACCACACTACTGTGATTTTGATAATATTTCGATTAATTGTGCAGCCACGTCATGAGAAGCCCAGTCACTGCAGCTCCATTAAGTGCTAGATGTATTCACCATGTACACTCAGTTGCCATTTTATTAGGTACACATATCTCAAATGAATGCACTCTTTATACAACAGTCCTGCTCTTAATCTGACCTCCATGTAAGTTACAATGTTCAGTTTCTGCTAAGACTGTTCAGAGTGGTCTTTATTCAGTGTTATGATCATTTTAGAGGCTGCAGTTGCTAGTGTGTGGTGGTGTTGACTTGTGCTGTCATATTGAGATGTTTTACATTAAAGACAGTCAGCTAAATGTTAAACAATATCATAATGGGACATAATTCAACAGCACCACAAACTCCAGCCTCCAAAATGGTCATTAAAAAGAACATATGGGCTGTTGTATTATATTGCATTACTTGCTCTCTGGAGATTTACTGTTATAAACTGACAATTGAGTGTTTACATAAAACCTATGTAATAGCCTGTTATATTCAGTTACACATAACATGCACTTAGGTAATTTCAGCAGTACAATAAAATGAGCATTCAAAAGAAGAAATGTCCTTCAGAGGTTTGCAGGATTGTCCAACCTTCTACTCGAGAGCTTGTCTGTTTTCTAATGGGTTTAAAATTGCACCCCAGTACTGTTTCATTGTCAAGCTGCCTCTGAGCTCTCTGTTATCACTAAGTGCAGAGATGTATGACTGACTAATGCGAGGAAGGAACTGGAACTTCATGTCATGTAAAGCAGGTCTGCAATTGCAGCACTCCATTGCAGTAGAGTGCTGTCATTAACCCTGCTGAGAGCATCTTTCTGCTACAGAGCTCTGACTCCTGCTCACTGTGGTGGTGATTAGGAGGCTCTCTGTAGCCGAACATTTCACTGTTTGCCCAATCGGCTGATCTGCCCACTTAATTGCTTTCCTGAAGGATTTCCATGGTATTTCTTTTCTGGAATTACTGAGGTCTGGAACAATTCCCACAGTGGCCTCAGTGATTTGGTGCCAGTGGAAAGAGATTGTATGTGTAATTGTTTCTTCAGAGGGGGATTTACAAGTAGATTTACAGTCGCTTTAAATGTTATTATTGCAGTGACTTTAGTGATGGAGTGTGTATCAAACCGACTGTTTCTATCGGGACGTGGTGTCAGTTTGTAGCCTCTGAAATCAGAGCAGCACCAACAGAATTTGCATAGTTTCAGCTGAACCCTTGAACCTGCCCTTAATTTTACTTTTCCGTATTTGAATGAGAAGCCTGGTTATCATCGGTTTCGTAGTTTTCGACTACCCAGTTAGTCCTGACATGTCCAAGAGAACACCATTAATACAGGACATAATTACAACCTGTAAAATCAATGAGGCTTGGGCCTGAACATAAATTCCCAGACCTGTGTAGTAATAGGTGGATTCTGTCTTTGTTAGTTAAGCTCTTGCCATTGAATTAAGACTTAAGGGAAACTTCTGTGCTTTTGAACCTGGACCCTACTTTCCCATGGTTTTGTGTCTTAAGTTATTAAGAGAGACAACAATTTTTCGTCCAGTATTGAGAGACCGCCGTGGCGGAATAGGCTGAAAAGTAAACCCTGAGAGCAATAGTGCATCGTCAATTTATGTCCATTAAAAATGCTTGTTTTTGCCACAAGTGTCTGATGACATTATGAAAAGGACCCTATGGAGAAGTTAAACATTTTCCCTCGCACTTTGCTGATCCATTTGTTATTTTGGCAAAGTCTTGCTCAAGGAGAAGTCTTGTGAAATCTTGAGTTGTTGCAGGAAACAATGGTGGAAACATTGACAGTTGGGAGAGAGGAGTGCCTGGGAGAGTTTGTGTTTGAGAACAGAAAGCGTAGCATAGTGTTGTCTAAAAAATTTTCAGTGCCATGGCTAAATGTTCGACTGATTTAGATGACGAGGAATGTTAGATTTCAGAACGCGACTTCTCCTTGAGCAAGACTTGGTTACACACATTAAAAACAGATCAGATCAGTGAAAGGCAAGGAAAAGGTTTCACTTCTCTGTAGGGTCCTTTCTGTAATGTAGTCAGACACTTCAAAGCACTTTAAGGAGACATAAATTGACGATGCACAATTGCCCTCAGGAACTACATTGCAGCCTGTTTCACTGGTGTGGCTGCCATGCTCTTGTCAATACTGGACCAATCTCAACAATGGTTCCCATCAGTCATATAGACACAAAACTGGGAAAACTAGGTTAAAAAATCTAATGTGTCCCTTTAATTGCAAAAATGGCACAACCAACTGCAAGATACATGTTCTGCTTCAGTGTTTATCATGAACATGGAAACCACAGTTTGACAGCATAACTCAGGGTGGAGTTTTTAATCTCTTAAAATGTTATGACAAGCTTTACTACTCAGACTCGATCTTAGTTCAGCTGTCATCTGTTGTCACTATAAATTCATCCCTCTTTTGAGCCCTGTTTTATAGTTCATTTGTCATCATGACATCATCTGAAATTTGTTGTTCATGTCTTTAGGTACAACTCCAAGAGGAGACACTGGAGGAGGACCAAGCTGGGCCTGTAAACATGAGGGTCCCAGGATCCCAGAGTCCCTCCATCCCAACATCTGCCAGGACCTCCAGCTGCTGGGCCTGACCGCGGGGAGGGAGCCATGTTATCTGGAGCAGCAGTCGTTTTGTACAGAAACTCTGGTTGTGCCCATGTTTGACAATAAAAGATCTGTGATCAAACTTGATACGAGGCTGTTTTTGTAATCCATCTACTAGTTGAGTGTTTTTCTGAGGCAAACCAAACATGGCATGGGTAGGGGTGGTGCTGACACAGCTCTGCTGAAACAGAAGTACTCACTCTGAAGGGGTCTCACTCTTGGCCACACAGCAAATAGTTTGTGAATCACTGTTTCATGGAAGATTGTGGTCAGAATCTGAGCTCTGGCTTTGTTGCTTGTGCCAAACACAGCACTGCTATTCAAGGAGCCTAATGTAGTAGCAGGACAAACTATGATATGTTTACTTAAAGTGTTAAAAACTGGGGGAAAACGTACGCCACGTCAGTAATTGCTTACATTTGTGTACACAAGCAGAACTGGGTCAGCTGCAAGACATGTTAAGAATAAGCTCAGTATGTGTATTAAGTGTTTTATTAAAGTGGGGTTCAGTGAAAGTTAATGCAGCGTAATGTGCCAGTACTCAAACCAGATGAAACTCGGGGACCATCTAAAAAGCAATATTGACACTGAGTGGATTATTGGTGAAACTGTGCAGTGTCTCCTTTTTGGCTTGAGTCCAGTTAATCCTTTGAAACCCTGTAGAAACATCACTTTTCCTGTGCTGCTTTCAGACGCCTTTTGTAAATATTCAAAGCTTTGAGCCCTGAGCAAATTGGTGCAGTTTCTTTGAAGAACGTGGGGAAAAAGACAAAGAGCAGCTTGGTAGGAAATGTTCCACAAATTGGAAAAAAATAATAGATTTAGAACAATATTTTTTTTTAAAAAAGCTAGGGGATTAAAGACGCTAGGGTAAAAAATATGTATTTAAAATAATGATACAAAATTTTTAGTTCTTTTCCTGGTCGTATATACTTTTTATTATTTACTTTACTAATTTCCTTTTAATTTTTTTCTTTTTACTACATTCTTGCCGTTTTTTTGGGTTATTTCTTTTAACTGCCTTCATCCCATGTTTTTGAAGGAACCCAAGCCAGTGTGCTCAGGTTTCAGAGGGTGAATATGTATTTGGTGACCCTCTCACAAGAGGACATGAGTCATGAGCAGTTTCATTTGAAGGATTTTTAGAAGCTTTAAAATGGAAAATATCAAGTATTTGACAAGGAAAACATTTCAAGAAAAAAGCTTGTTATCCTTTAGTTCACTGATAATATATCCAGCCATTTCTGCCTGTAATTAAAGCCTGAAAACCTGTTTTCTTAAAAATCTGCAAGTAGGCCTACAGCAGGAAATTTTAGTCTGTTTCCAAAAGAGAACTTGTTTTAAAGAATATATTACAAATTGCTGTTTGTCTTAAAAGGTCAAACCAGGTTGTTGCTGTCGAAAAAAATAATTTTGATTAAACAAATAGATTCACCCTGGCTTGTCCCACTGTAAGGACTCATTCATAGGCAGAAATGACTTGGTAATGACTTGGCAAGGAGTCTCTGAGAGTGAAGTAATGCACATATTTGGAGGCTTGTGTCATAATCACTCAGCCTTTGCTTCCAAAAAATGAAAACGAGGGCAGCAGCTTCCTTAAAGACCCAAGCCTCCAGCCGCCTGCTCTCTGAGTCCGGTCACACGAGTCCACCTCATCTGTCCCTCCATGATCCACCTCATCATATGCAGCAGAGTTCATGGCACCAGCACCAGCGCTGTTATTGTTGACGTTCCTGTTGACATTTAGTGGCGCACACGCACAGCTGTGCTCATCGTCCCAGGTCCCCAGCAGCTCCTTCATCTCCAGCGGGGCGTCTCCCTGCAGATACTGCCACGGTCTCTTCCCATTGTAATCCATGGCATCGACGTTGGCGCTGAAAGCTCCCACCAGCAGCTTGACGACCATGTACTGTCTGTGCATGCTGGCGACATGCAGCGGGGTGAGCCCGCCGCTGCCCCGCACGTTCACATTCACCGGGATCCCCGCGCTCTCCGCGTACCGCAAAAGTTTGAGCAGAGTCTCGTCCTGTCCTCTCTTGGCCAGCCAGTGCAGCACCGAGTACCCGCTGATGAAATCCCTCCTGGTCAGCAGATGGGGGTCCTCTGAGATGAAGTCCAGGATGGTCTCATAGCTGCCCTCCACTGCAGAAAGCATCCACGCGTGCTCCATCGGGTACAGAGCCCAGCTCGCGTCCTGCTCAGAGGACACGCTGGGAGTGTGTGACAGCACGCTGCTGAAGCCGCTGTGTGACGGGTTGCTCAAAAGCAGCTCCTTCAGGTACTTTTTACGCATAGCGGGTGTGATAGAGACTCTCTCCGGAGGCTCCCTGTCCTCAGAGCCTCCGGGCGCGGAGCTGTCAGTGACCTCATGCTGCCTCTGCAGCCGCGACCTACGCTGGAAAGCACTGGGCATGACCTGCATGCCATACCGCGAGAGTCGCTCCACAACGGTGCCCTGTTTGGACCTCCCGCTGCCGTGGGCGTCAGTGTCACTGACAGCTGGTTCACATCCAACATCATCCGATCTGTTCTCATACATGCCTCCCTGCACGATGACTCCGAGGCTACTTCCTTTATTTAGACAACACCCCGAAGATAGCAGTGTCAGGCTAGAAACTGGGAACCATTTCCCTCCATTCCGCTGGACTCATTCCCTGTGTCATAGGAGCAAACAGTCTATTTTTAATATATATGTACACACATCTAAATCATTTTGGTAATGCGCAAACATGCAATTTTAAGCGTCTTAACCGCAAAATGACCAAGTTCCTCTTTTTGTAAGCACAAGTAAGACGTTTAAATGCATTACCTTTTCCAAAAAACACCTTAAAAACAATTAATGTTTAACTCAGTCCTGTGCGCATCCGGTTGATCCCGCGCCAATGTTACTCACCTGTTCTGTGTCCAAAGCGCACACCGACTCTCCAGCTGTGTCTGCTATTAACCATTAAGCGCCTCACTCTTTGTCAAACATATTTGGTCCATTGATAAAACACTTATTTAAAGTATTTCTCCTGCATACCGAGCTACAGACGCATACCGCGAGTCTCCCTTCCTTTACAAGAGGAACTGAGACAAAGTTCATTCTAATCTCAGGCAAAACCAATGGCAAGAATCCCTCACATGTGACCACTGATGGACTTCAAAAGCAGGAAGTAAGTACAATGCTCACTCCCCTGATACTCTCACAGCCTGTCACCAGCCATGAATCATCAGTGCAAAGCAAATAAAGATAGCGGAGCAGATAAAAGATAAAACAACTTTATTTCAGTAAAAAATGTCAGAATTACGCATTAACATTCAGTCAGTAGAAGACTCTGGGGGAAGCTCAACAGTCAGCTCATCAAGTGTTTGAAGGAAGGCGTCCAGCTCGGGGCAGTAATCTGGAGAGGGGAGATACAGTCAAGTTAATGATACCTGTGGTTAATGATACTTGTAGTTTCAAACCTGTGCCCTGTACTTAATGGCTGCAGCTGCCAGGCAATGGTAACTTCTTATTTAGTGCTGCATGTTGCTTTTGAAATCATCATTCATATCAGATAACAATTTACTCATTAAAACTTGTTCCTCCACATAATGACTCTGGTTATTTTTTACAGTTTAAAAAAAAAAAAAAAAGTACAGTGAATTTCTGATAGCATATGGCACAATTAATTTGCAACAAAGTGGCTTCAATGAAAACTTTAGAAGTCTGGATTATTCACCATAACAAGGGCACTGTGTCTGAGAAGTCACGCTGTATATATTTTAAATAGGACAAACAGAAAATTCAAGGTCCACACAGTTTAACAGTCAGCGCCACACTTGCGTTCGGCCATGTTGTCAAGTGAGTTTGCCGTCTGTCAAGTATTTGTCCGTTTGTCACTCAATCTACAGCAGGAGACCACACTTCAAAATGAAAGCTGTGTGCTAGAAATTATCTGTACTTAAAAATTTTTTTTTTTTTTTACAAACTTGACAAGTTTGCAAGTCACTTGTGGTCCATTCAGGGGAGGACCCACCACCCACCAGTTAGAAACCAGTGCACTAGAGGGGACACCAGAGGACTCAGACTGGGCTCAACAATAAGGATCGCCTGTAGCAAGTTAAGTGCCAGGGGAGGTTAGTATATTTAGCAAATCACTTGCCTGATAAGCAAGAGGTGAAAAAACTAATTAAAAAGCATTGTTTTTAAAGCTGATATAAGTAGCTAAGGAGTGAGCCATCTTGCTTCCCTCTCATCTCTGTTCACAGCTGCATGTGCGTAGTATCAGTCAGGCACTCATGAGAAAATGGCCATGGTTAAGGACAAAGTTTATGAGCAAAAGTGAGCATTTCAGTTATCCTGGAAACAGATGTTTAGGTGGTGTTAAAGGAGGTGGGCAAAACTTATTCCAAGCATGTCAAGTTTCTGAAAAATGTGATAACTGCTAATAAATAAAAAACAGTAGGGGTTAGTAAAAACTGACTTCAGGGAAGAAAATGTCTGAAGTTTCCCAGGCAAATGAAAAAACAAACAAACAAACAAAAAAAAAACGCATTAATGCTGCATCCTGAACATGGCGACACTAAAGGACATTATTGTATTGTCAATTCTAAGATCAAGGCAAAAAATAGTGGTGCCATTAGAGATGATAAAACAAGCACATCCTGACAATAACAAGAATGGATCTCTCGCTCAGCCAGTGTTCACTGCCCCTCCTGCTCATGTGCATATGGCATGTGGCCAACACGTCACAGTAATTTCTGAGGATGTGCACAACCCAACGCTCCAAACAACAAGGTGGAGGCATAATACACAAGGCAGCCATCATGCACACACAAACACATGGTGAAAAATCAAGCATCTCTCTGGCTTAACACTATACATCAAGGTTGGGCATCACACAACAGGAGAAAACAAATGTGCAAGTGGTCAGATGTTACCATAATGATAGGGGTGATATTTGATAATCATAGAAAAATGTTGCAAATCAGTCAGACTGTTTTATAACAATTCTGGATACACTGATTTGTGCATGGATTCGTTGGGTATTTAATTTTACGTACCGCCAAAAACAGACAATCCTATCTAGGTATTTCATCCATAAACAATTTTTTGATCGATTGTTCCAGAAATCTACTATAATAACAGTAACAAATGTCATGACATCATGTTACGTATACTTATGGATGGGTTCACGCAAGATTTCATTGTGGATTGTGATTTAAAAAAAAAACAAAACAACAAAACACAATAAGTTGATCATGGTGAATTTCCATTATTGGGATAATTGTAAATATTGTGTCCAGCAGTGCCCAAAGAGACTGCTGAGCAACAAATGATAAGAGACTCTGCAAAAACAGACTGCATGACCAGCAAACTTAAAAAAAATCTTAATCAAGAAATATGTTTTCAAACCCAAACAGTAAGTGTGGCTGCAGCCCTGTTAGGAAGTCAGGATACCTGAATGTTTTGGCATCTTTACAGGTGACAGGTCTGGGAGTGGATCAAACTTTTCCACCTCCTCTTCACACAGATGTGAAGCTTGTGGGAAACAGGCCAGTCCAGGCAGGGCAAAGCCACTGAGAGGGATCAGATCCTCAGGTATGCCATACTTCTCAAACTCTGGAAAAATACACATCAAATCACATGTTTTAGATCAAATGTTTTAAAACATTGTAGGAAAAAAAAGGGGCACAAGATCGGTGGATGAACCTTATACACAGACTCCATAATATATTTGGCACATGCACGTTCTTATATACAGATGAGCCTCAGTGGGTTGAGTCCTGAGGGAATAAATCATGAATGAACTCAAAGGAAGCAAAGCTAATGTGCTGCTGCAGTGGGATTTATACAGAAAATGTCCATGTCATTTCTGATTGAGCAGCATTTACAACTAATACACATAACTGAGATGTGATTGTACAGCTGATTATAGTGTGATGGTACATATTAGACTTTTCTTTAAACTGTGCCTTTTATAACTATACAATTTTGAAATACGACCTTCTCTGCAAGCAGTGAGAATTGCGGTGTGATAGTCACCTAGTGGGTCATAAGGGATGAACTTCTCAATTTCTGGATATTCCTCCACTTTGGTCTTCTGGTCTGAAGCATGTTTGACTTTAGTTTCCTGTGGGGAACAAAAACGTTTTTACATGTAGAGGTTAGAGCACAACAATCCCATTATAGTCTGGCAATACTTTTAGAATATAACTATGATGCTTTATTCCAACCTGTGGCTTTAGGAGTTTCTTCTCTTGTGTGTTTACAGCAGGGGTTGAGACTTTTTTGTTGACAGCGCCAAACGCCTTACGACCAGATGGCAGAGGGGTGTGTAAGGTTTTGGCAGTCATAGGGGATAAGAGTTTCTCTAGAGGGGGAAAAAATGAAAGCTTAATGCATATTGTCATACAGACCAATACTACTGCTAGAAAAATAATTATATGTATGCACAAGGTTGGCATTTCCATACCTGGAGCAGACTGAAGCCGCTGTCGCATCTTCAGAGACGGCGGATGAAGACATGCATTTTCTCGCTCTGCAAAGATTATGTTGGCCATTTTATCTGAAAAGACAACCAGATATTATATCATATATCTATTGTTACATATTAAAAACCATCACAATGGAAGAGGCCTTTCTGTGGCAGCTGTTTTGACACATTGTAAGTACACAGGTGTAATTGCTGTATTTGCAGGGCCATGGTATTGTGCATGCAGGCTCATGGGACACTGTAATGCAACCAAGCCATCATTAATGTTTTTAGGGCTGAAACAAATAAAGTAATTAATAAAATCAGCAGAAAATAATCCACTATTTTGATAATCAATTAACATTTTCAGTCATATACTAAGCAAAAATGTGAAATAATCCACAGTTCCAGCTTTTCATTGTCATATATTTCAGTAGTTTCTACTGTTGTATGAAACAAGTAATTTGAAGATGTCACTTTGGGCTCTGGGATTGGGCATAATCATTTTTCTAACATTCTATGAACAAATAATTAGGAACATTAATCAATTAAAACACATTAGTTGCTTCCCTTAATGTTGGTGAAAGTTTATTCTTCACTTTGTGAGTAGTTTGACAAAATAAAGTACCAAATCAAGAGACACATACTAGCTTTAAACAGCATCTCAGGTCTTTATCAAAAGGTAATTTGTGATAACTGAGCAGACGCAATCTGCTGATTAAGAAGGGGTTGAAACTCTGGAAAAAAGCTAGCAAGTGGACTTCAAGTCAAGATTTTATTTTGTCATTTTAGTGTGTTATCTTAATTGAGCACAGATATACTTCATGTTATAAGGTTAATCAAAACAAACATCATATTACATCGAGTTCTGGCACCTTCACAGGAAAACTGTGTTTCCAATGGATCAGGTCATGTGAAATCAAAACTAGAGTGAAAGGTCTTGGTGCTAATAGCCACTATGGCTGGTAGCCAGCCTGTGTTTACTCAGCCTCCGACATTAAACATTCAAGTAACAGTAAAGTGTACTGCGGCTAATAGCCAACCTGGCAGTGTTACAGCACTAATAGCTGTAGCTACCACTAATGAATGACACTGGTCCTGTGCTGAGGGCTGAAATAAAAGCTGGCTGTCTCCCTGTTTGTAGATAAACGTTAGCACTTTGACTTCACGTTGTTGTCGTGCTACATGTTCTGTCTTAAGACATAATTTAATTAACGTTCGTAAGATTTCTGTTTGTCATGGCGACCAGTTAAAGAAACGTTACACAACGTCTGTGAAACGTTTGCAAACATAACGGTCGGGAACGTTTGTCAATCATCATAATGCTAACGTCATTTTCGCAGTTTCTTTATAAGAAACTTCAGCTTAGGTTAAAGTTTAACAAGCAAACACACAGACAGTCTACAGCTAATTAAAGTTAACATTGACTGACTTACTGATAGCTTAATTAGGTCAAGTTATCAGGCTTCCATGTGCGCAAGATGAGGATACATACTCAATATCTGACCGAATTTAGCTAAGCTAGCTAGCTAACATTAGTGACGTCTCGTCTTCGTAGAGCTATAAAACCTAAAGGTATTTGTTAAAAGTGATGATAAACTCAACAATAACCTAGATACACCGGTGTTAACGTAACATTACCTCGGTCAGATGTGCTAAACGCCGTTGGTTGCTGTTTTCCTCTCACACCGAAAAGTTGTTATGGTTTGGTTCGGACGGACCGCGCTTCCGTTTTAAATTCACTGCCTTCTTCCTATTGGTCACTGAAGCACACGTGACTTCAGTGGGCGTTACCCAAAATAATGTACACTAACGTTACAATTTTTATACAGTATATGGTTACAACACAGCTAAAAATATACAATAGCGTCATTATACACAGAGATGCAACTGTTATCATAATCAGCCTTACTTCCTCATATGATGAAACACCTCATGTGTTTATGAAGTCATATCGTTGTCATCTATATGTTGCTTTTATATTCAGTATTTCCCGTGTTGAATACACATTATAGTACTGATATAACTGAGGGAACTGCAAGACAGATAAATAACAATGAAAGACAAAAACATTATAATAATAAAAAAAATTAATAATATGTGACATTTGAATACAGATACAAAATAGAATTAGAAAATCATGTGACATTTGAATACAGATCACAGTATTAATATAACTGAGCTAACTGCAAGTCAGAGATAAATAACAATGAAAGACAAAAATAATAATAATAAAAATAATAATAGGCTAATAATAAATGTTTCAAAAAATTTAATAAAAAGAACAAAATACAAGTGGTCATTTAGTTACGGAAGAGGAGTAGGGCCACTGTGGAAAAAAGTGAGTTCTGACTTTTTTCTCAGAATTCTTAGAAAAATTCTGAGAAAAAAGTCAGAACTCAGTTTTTTCCCCCCACAGTGGCCCTAATCCTCTTCCGTATTTAGCAATTACAGTACACAGATATTCATAAAGGCATAGGGCCTTTCCACTTTTACAACATTTTACATATTTGTTTGAGTAATCTCATTTAGAAATGCGGGAGATATTGGGCTAGTTTTACACCAACCTTTATATTTTCATAATTTACAATCATAATTTCGATCGTTATAAGTCAACAACTATTGGAAAAATGTCCCAAAATTACTTAGTGACATTACAAGAGAAAAAAAAGATGTTCTGAGGTTTTAATGTCTGTGTTGCAGAAAATATATTCAAAAATATTCAAATCTAAATGAAACCTTTGGTGTAATAAGTCATTATATATGTAAATCTCATTCATCATTTTAAGCTGAACTTCTTTAGCCTTGGGTTGAATTGGTAAAGAGAGGTATCTGGGTCTTATTTTAACTGTCAGATTACTGCTGTGTTTTTGGAACATATGTTTTTAATCGTGATGGGAAACAAACTAAAGTGAGAACATTGATAATTTATTATTGCTTTTTTTTTATCTAAAAGAAAATTACATCCATCTATTACTTATGAAGGATTTTGTGGAATAACCGCAGAATAAAACAGCATGCCTCTAATTAGCTTGTGGAATTGCCTTAATTACTGTGTTACATTGCCTGTCAGTACAACCAAGATTGTATTTTCTCACAACACTATATATGTTAAAATGCTGCCATGATTATCTAATAAATGAATAATGGACCAGACACCCCTCTCCATCCATTCCTTGTGATAAAATGATTTTTTAAAATTAAAATACTTCTATTATTCCAAATAGAAACCGTGTGTGAGGTAAAGTTATACTCTTATCAGTTTCCAATAATCTCCGTTTGTAACGTTCATTGACTGCGGCTCACTTCACACTGGACGACACCATGAACGCATCCCGTGGGGGAGCTCAGTGGGTAGAGCTCATCTTTTAATCATAAAAATTCGGACGTTTTTTTCCCAAACACGAATTGGAGTGTATGTGGCTTTTATAATTGCCTTAAACTAAACACACACACAGAGTTATCGCCGTGTTATACAATCGTAAATTAGCCTGTTGAACAGTGGTACATTCCTACTAGGCCATCTTTCGGCGTAACTTGAGCGGTGCAGCTTCCTTTGCTAACCAGAGAGAGCAGCAGAGGTTTCGTCCTCCGGCTAACAGCTACTACCATGGCGTCAACCGAGATAGCAAGGCAAGCGGTGAGTAGCCTATTTTACTCAGGATGCCATCGTCACTGCAAATACGTACCTCTTGAAATTTATTTTCTGTCCTCGATAACGGCATGTATGTATTTTAAGCTTTACGTAAGAGGCTGTATTTTGGGGTAGATTTAGGTTGGCTAGCATCCGCTTTTCGTGGTTATATCCCATCCTCAATTCAATGTAACGTCGCTAGTGACGGTTTGCGATTAGAAATAGGATAAAGCATTTTTAAAATCTTTTAAAGTGAGGCCCGAGGCTGATAAATCGTTCTTTTAAATCTTTCTTTTAAATATCTTCATTCTAGTATTTTCATTTTCGTGAGCTAACGGCTGCAGATTTCCTGTGCTGATATCGCTAGCTAAAACTGACGTTACATATCAAACGAGATGGTTTTTTACGTGTGATGAAACGTTTTAAACACTATGTAGTAGACTGTATTAGCTCACGGTAAAGCTATAACCTATTATAGAGCCATCGGTAGGCCATTCATTCTGCACGCCCCCATTTCAGCACAGCTACGGTGCTCATTTCCGTTATGTTGTTTCATGTAAGTCCCGTTAACTTTGAGTCGGGCGTTGTCTGATGGTCAAAGAAAATATGGACAAACAGAATCCCACTAGCTACAGGCATTTAGGCTCAGCAGTTTGAGAAGTGTGTGTAAAGTTTGCCTGTATTTTTGTCTGGGGAGAAAAAGGAAGCCACTACACCCAGAAGGAGTGCTCAGAATAGCCAGGTTTTGCAGCTTGATATCCCTTTGCGGCTCATTGAATGAAAACCCGCTGTGTGTAGCTTGGCTGTGACTGTCTTGAAAAGCAGGAATGGTTTCAGGAATGTTGCACTTGCAGCTGAAGAGGAAAGGCTGTTTGTCCAGTCACATTACCCCCAGTTTTCCAAATACTCCCTTCAGCTGTTTAAACCCCATTTCAACTATCCAAATAATCCACAACTGTCCGGCACCGTCAGCTTGACCAGTTATTTTAAATTGACCCTCAAACGGAATGTTTTCCTCTCAAAGCCACATTGGAAAGCAACGCTGTGTTATGTTAAGCCACATAATGGCCGGTTGGCTGAGGTTTAGCTGGTTGAGCGCTCTTGCTTCGCCATATAATCTAAATTCTTTGCTTTCCTGCACCTCGTAATGTAGACGTGGGCTGCAGAAATGAGATTCGCAGAGATGGAGATACTCACCAGCAGCCACACGCCCCCACACACATGTAACAACTGTGCTTTTACACTTTGGTGTTTTGTGTCTCTGGTCCAGAGATAGCCTGTGTACAAACAGTGTAAAAGTAGAGTGAAGGGAAGTGCAGCCAGCCAAAAATAGTGAGTTTAAGGGTTCAAGTCAGAGTGACACCACAGTCATGCACAGTGGGCTATGTTAAATGGACTCTTTGGCCCTTAAAACAATCAGCTTTTATATATTGTCAGCGTTCTTTGCTGTTTTTGCAGCTATCTTGACAACAACAGCGACACCTCTCCATATATGTACATTGTGGTTTGTAACTGTCTCGTTGGTGGGAAGAAAGTCACAGCTCAGGAAACAGGAAGTGAGCAACATTGCACCTGAAGTCAGTCTCAAAGACGAACATAATCGAAGATGCTGGAAAGTTTGGTAATTTCAGCATTATTTGGTAATATAATGTTAGTTTTCAACAGGAAACTATTATCAAAATGTACTGCAGATGACAGAGAAGTGTGTACATGTTTACAGACGTGAGAGCATAGTGTCTTAACAAGGTATATCAATGCATAAGATGGTCGGTAGTTGATTTGTATTTGCCTGATGTTTGTTTTTAGGGTGAAGGTGCTCGTGCTGTCCCTCTGGCAGGCCATGTCGGCTTTGACAGTATGCCTGACCAGCTGGTCAACAAGTCTGTCAACCACGGATTCTGCTTTAACATCCTCTGTGTTGGTGAGTATGTCATGCGTGAAAATGCTTTTACCCTCTCTCTCTCTCTCCTGAGGCTAAAAGACAACTTATTTGCTTCAATGAACGTCTGGCTTTTCCACAAGATGCAAAGCACATTGCTCAGTACTTGATCTGCTTAGACTGCTTTGGACCAGTCAGCAGTGGTTAACATGATGAGTAAGATGCTCTGGGTCCAGAGAGGAAGTTTAGAAATGTCTGCAGGTAGTTATTCAGTTTCAGTATGACATTATTCATTTGCATTGTGGTTAACAGAATACAAGCCTTTTGAAAGATTTGTCAGACTGTACATCTGTTTTATCGACAAAACAAGTCACTTCAGCTTCATTGAGTGCCAGGATTATTCACTCAGGTACACTCAGTCGCCAGTTTATTAGATGCACCCAGCTACAACTAATGAAATTTAATACAACAGTCCTGCAATAAATCAGAGCTTTATGGAGGGGATGAAGTTCAGTTTGCATTTAAGCTGTAATAGAGAGGCGTCAATTCAACTTTATGGTCATTTTAATGGCTGTTCTTTGTGGTGCTGCTACAGTGTGAGAGGTGCTTCTAATATTTTTCCTTTCCATTTGCACCAGTGAGTGCTGGCTAGGACTTAAGATGTTTCAATTTTTGGCAACATTTCATCTCTGCCTGCTGCACACAAGCAATTTTTGCTTTTTGGAATCATGTAGTTTTAGCACATGAAATCCCCAAGCAGCAATGGAAATGTGTAACCAATTTGTTGGCCATCTTTTCTTCCCCTGCCTTTTGTTTGATTTTACCCATCACATCTTCTAATTTTAGAACACAGAGGAAAGGAGACACGGCATACAGACGCACAAATGTGGTGAACACCAATATGTAAACACTTTCAATCTCTGAATTCTACACTGATATTTTTGTTGATTGAATTTGTGATGATAAAGCTTCAGTTACTGGTCACAGAGCAGCGGCAAATGTCAAACGTTTCTATTTTTCTAAGACTCTGTGTGCTATCTGTTTGTCATGTGATGCTATTTAGAGATCTAGAATACTACAGTCTGTGTCTGTTTTTTAAAGCGTTTTTATCAGCGGAAATCCCTTGTGACCATTTTTTAGTGGTGTAATTTAGCATGAGTCGGTTTTAGATTAGTGTCGGATTGAAAAGTGGGAAAAGGCCAACAACAATTTGTTTGTCATAATTTAAATAAAACCATTGTCATTGTTAATTTATATTGGTCCTAGCAGAGGGCTGACAACAGCTTTTGTTGCAAACTGTAAATGCTGTTGTGTGACTCACGAGTGCAGCATTTCACAGTCGCACAAGCATTGCTCGAGGCAAAGACATGTGATCTTTGTTTTTCATAATTTGGTTGTGGTCTAAAATTCCGAGGAAGGGAATCAGAAATGTGGAGAAGATTGTTTCCATTGGGGTTAAAGACGACTGATATTTCTGCACAGGGTTTTTATTATGTTATTTACGATTTCAGGACGTTTGATTCGACCCTTCTACAGTTTGTCCCTTCATTTCTTTAAACAAGATGCCAAATTGCCTTCAGCATGAGAGACTTCTCTATAGTGACTTAAACAGAGCTTAGAAACAGGCAGAAAGACCGTTGATGCGTCTGTTACTTTGGATTTTGAGGGAAAGATTAGAAATATGGAACATTGTGAGATATCCTATAAAAATGGGCTATGGTGCTGAGACTGTAGGTCAGGCTGTGATGAATAAAAATAGAAGTTCTTACAGAGCGTGCTCTGTATCTGAGTCATCTGACAGCCTCCAACAGCAAATGGATGTCAGAAGACATCAGCAAATGAGCAGCTTCTGCTGCTGCTTTTGTGACTGTAAGCACTTGAAAATGATATATTTTGTCCAGAGCATCTTCAAAATGTCATATTTAATCTACTCTCACTTTTATTCGACACCTTCCTTTTAAGGCTTTATTTTTTAGTTCCATTAAATAGGTGGTAAATAAAAATGGCTGATGAGCTCAGCGAAAATGTGTCAGACGCTAAAAACTAAAATGGGACACTCAAGGAAAATCTGCAGTGTGAAGTGATAGACATTACTATGTAAGTGGAGGTGAAGAGGACAATTCAGTGTGACTGAAAACACGCCATTGATGTAATTTACATAATCAACAAGGCAATAGCTGACTGAGCACAAGATCAGGGTTTTATAGGATCCCATTAACATGATGTATTGTCTCTGTGTCGTCTAGGCGAGACGGGTCTGGGGAAGTCCACCCTCATGGACACGTTGTTCAACACCAAGTTTGAAGGCGAGCCCACTCAGCACAACCAGCCAGGAGTCACGCTCAAGTCCAACACCTACGAGCTCCAGGAGAGTAACGTGCGCCTCAAACTCACTGTCGTCAACACCGTGGGCTTTGGAGACCAGATCAATAAAGAGGACAGGTAAACAAGTCTGGATAACTGCCATTTCTTTAACAGACGTAAAGGTCTGATCTCAGAAAACTGGTTTCTTTCATACAGTTCTATTTTTGCTGGCAGGCTCTGTCTTTGTGAGCAACACCAGAAATCCACACTTGATTGTGCACACAACATTTCTGACAAACAATGACTCTGTCAGAGCTCTGAGCCTTTTGGGAGCTTGGGTTTCATTCAGGATCAGGACTGAATGAAACCGTACCCGTAGGATGTGGAATCAAGTCTCCATCTGGGGTTTTCTGAGAATGTTCATAGTATCGAGTTTTACAAACAGAAATCAGATGTAGATGCTTTTTTTCCCCTTCTTTTTCATTGGTGAAGCTCAGTGCACATCAGGTTGAAATATCTTTCTGTAGTATGTGTCCTTTTCATGTTTGCATGTAATGCTGAAATAATCTTTGTATTAGTCTGTTGGTTGAAAATTAATAACAATTTAAAAAATCTATTTGTCACTCTAATCATTCAATTAAGTCAAGATGAAATGAAGAATGCCTTTTCAACCCTCTTAGATCACATCTCCACCCAAATTATACACCTATTTAACAATATATGGGAAAAATTACAAAGATGAATTTCTTTGTTTTCTTATAACAAAATCCGATCGTGTTTTCTCCTGTAAAATAAAATATGGCACATGTTTACATATTCTAATGCCAGACAGTTTGAACCAATTATATCATGACATCCACCCATCAATCAATCTGCAACTTTTAGCCTCACAGAGCAAAGATCAAGTTAGCTAGCTAGCAACAACATGCTACACTGGTGTCTTCGTTTCCCCAAAATACTGTGGTTACTGCACCTCAGGCTAGAATATATTCACTTTTAAGGAAAGTGATAAATGTGACAGCTTCAGATTACGCGCTGCTTCAGCAACTCACGTTAATGGAGCATACAGTGGACATGCTCTCCATTCAGCATTACACCGTCAGCCCTTCACGGTTATGAAACACCCACTTTCCAACAATCTAATCAGGGTCCTCCCAACGTTATATCCTGCCCGTCTATCCTGTTTTACTTGGAAATACATCACAGTGCCGAAGTTAGATACTCTCAAAATGTTGTTTCATCTGGACTTCAAATAAAATACTAAACATTTGGAAGTTAAACCCTCTCAAATGGATGCAACCCTTGAAGGTGGGATCTTAAGGCCAGACTGAGACGTCACCTTCTCCTCACATGAGATGGTCTATCCTCACAGAGACCGAAACTGATGATGGATTGCATCAGCTTGTTGAGTTAAAAATTAAGCGTTTACCAGGAAGTTGCTCTCAAATGAATGAAGTATAAACACCAGGTGCGAAGTGGGACAAATTACATGATATCTAGATTAACAGTATGAGATGGGACATTACACTTATACACATGACAGACAATTGGCAAATTGTAGCATGTTAATAGTAAACATTACTAGTAGCAACATATACGGGCTGGTTTGAGAACAAATATGTCTGCCGTCTAAAATGTACACTTTGCAGTGACTCTTTCACTGGTTTAGTTTAAGTGATGTTTTTACTGGTGATGACCAACTGAATACTAATACCTTGTAAAAACACATAATTGGTACATAATATTTCTCAGCTTCAGGAGTTGATGAGGGTGACCTGAATGCTTCATTAAGCAATTTAAACTTCACAATGGATTATGAGGATAAGGGCCCCACAACATACTTCGCCTTTGTTTTCCAAATTGTGTCTACATCCAGCCAGTGTTCACCTTTTTATATGCTGTAATGGTGTGACATAATTTCTGAACAGGACAGGTGCTAAGATGCTTAAATCACTTCCTTGTTTCTCCGTTTTCTGACAGCTACAAGTCAATCGTGGAGTTCATTGATGCCCAGTTTGAAGCATATCTACAAGAGGAGCTGAAAATCAAGCGCACGCTACACAGCTACCACGACACCCGCATCCACGCATGCCTTTACTTTATAGCTCCAACAGGACACTCGCTCAAATCCCTGGACTTGGTGACCATGAAGAAACTCGATAGCAAGGTGAGCTTTACTTCACTTCATCAGCCAGAAGCCATTTGTTTGTCTCAGAATTTCCAGTAGAATTTCTTTTGTTGTGTGTAGGGCTGCCACTAACGATTATTTTCATTGTCTAATCTGTCGATTATTTCTTCGATTAGTCGACTAATCATTTCATCGAAAAATGTGTTAAAATGTTGAAAAATGTCGGTCTGTCTCTCCCAAACCCCAAAATTACGTCATCTAATGTCTTGTTTTTTACTCACGCCAAAGGCTTTTAGTTCACCGTCATGGGAGAGTGTGTAAAGCTGCCTATATTTGAATGTAAGAAGCTGCAGTAAGAGTATTTTGGAGTACTTTTATAGTACTTTTCTATGAAAAATGACTCAAACCGATTAGTCGACTACTAAAATAGTCATCGATTATTTTAATAGTCGATTAGTCATCGATTAGTCGTCTAATTGTGGCAGCCCTAGTTGTGTGTTTGTAAGCTGGGGATCATTTGTTCATTCAGAGATCCACTTTCAGCTCTGAGTGTTTTCCATCAGTTCCAGATCAATTCCAGTGAGTGTTAGGCTTAATTAGGGCTCTGTTAAAGTTCCTCTCCTGGCATTGATTAAACCCCTAAACACTTGTCTCTGTTCATCACAATTACACATATGGAAGTTTATCCTACGAAAAAATCCCTTCATACCTTAAAATGGCTTAGATGGAACTCTACAACTTGGTCACATTTAGTATTTCAGCCACTGCAGCTCGAGTATACCTGCTCATCACTCTCTATCACATTGGAAATGTAACAGTAATACATAGCATGGGCTTACAACTTGACTACGTTATCAAATGGCTGATAATGTGTTGCCAATGCTAGATAAACTTTGTTCCACCAGCTCTGACAAATTGAAATTAACTTGAAAAATACTTAGGGCTACGATCTAAAAGTCGAAGATTTGACTCATCAGTCAGAAACCCCCTCGGTCGACTGAGGCTCTTCAGGTTGAGCAGGTTTCTTTTCTGTCAGTCAATGTAATACAGTGTACTTCTGGGGTAAGTTTGGGTCCCCAGATTCAGCCGCAGAGTGTGCGCTCCTTGCTTTCACACTGCTCTCTGGCTGCCTGGAGGAAGACAAGCTTTGCACTGTTAGGCTCTGAGATAATGTTTTCTTCTGCCCTCTGCTTAGAAATGGTGACTTTACAGCTCACAGCAACTTGATATGATACAGTCTCTAGTTTTTGTTTAATATCCAGTGAAATGTTGTTTCACATTTCCAATCTGTTGTTAGCATAGTTAGCACGCATTAGCTTGGAGGGCTACGTTGCTGTCACCCTGAACGTCCTGCCAAACCTTCCTCAAACTTTCAAACTTTGTATGGAAACAATGAAACAAATAGATGAATATTCATATTGAACAGCCAAATCTGATTCGACTGACAAAATTCTGAGTTCGATACAGCCCTAAAAATACTGATTCGTAGCTACACCTGGCTTCCTCCTTGTTTCATCATAGCGTTTTGCTAATGATATTGGACGCTCCACCCAGAAAGTTGACAGGTCATGATGACTGTCATTGGTACACTACAGCTCTGAGGTGGAAATGCTGAGCCATGGCGTTGACTGCATATTTCGCTCATGATATGTCTTGTAACATATAACAAACACCACATGGACCTGTTAACTTTTCCATGTGGTGTTGAAAACTTGATTTTTATTGGATGGAGGGCTTTAATATAAAAACTTCATACAGCAATCATCATTTGCAATCGTGCAAGATTCACAAATCTAATAGCCATGGTTTGTATAGTTTTTTAGTGTTACATGGACAGGATAACTGTTTCAATGCTTACGAACATGACTAGACTTACTGTAGCACGTCACAGACATACTGTAGGTAAATCCTTTGGCACTGCATTGTTGTTTGCAGCATCTGATCTATCTGCTGTAGTCACGGGCCATAAACCTTTTCTAGGCCATCTGCCTGCATGCAGATTGGCTCTGGTCTTGTTACTGCGTCGGTGTAGGTCAGCTGTGAAATGCAGTCAGCTCAGTGACTCCAGCCTCGGTTTTTTATGTGAGGGCCTTTCCACAGTAGCTGATTTGCATGGACCTCCTGGCTTTTGTACAAAGAGTCGGCTCAGTGTTTGCCAGAGCAGCTGTGCCCTCTGGCAAACGCTCACACCAACGTGATGCAGAGCAGAGCCTCCTCTCTGTTTACACATTCACCTGGGGCGGGGTTCAAACAATACTCTGCTGAAGTGTCCATGAGCAAGACGTTAAGCCCTCACCAGACAGTAAAGTATTACTCGTTCACATGACCCTGAGCGTGCCCTGCCGTTAGTTAAAGGGGCCCCCAGTTGGAGAGCAAATAATTTGGGATTGTGTAGGCGACAGGGTTTGTAGAAAATAGTTGTGTGGGAGTGCGAGTGGAAGACACATTTTTCACCAGCCAGTTGTGAGTGCATGTATAAGAATGACCCTGCCTGTTCTTCCCTTGTTTGGATAACACGGATAGCTTAAGTGCTACTGAAATCATTTGAGTTGGACTATTAACACCATGTTTGGAGAGTGATGTTGAGCAGAAGATGGAGGCCTGCAGCTCCCTTTGCAGCTTTTACTATTTTTATCTCTGAGCTTAGGAATGTGTAATTGTTTGCGATACACAAAGGCCTGGGGCTAGAGAGAGGTACAGTGACGTGTTGAAATGATTAAGAGAGCATGAGTTACTCAGTACTTTTTCCTGAATGAAATTGTGCTTAATATTTTTTACAATCCTGGGCAACCTGTGATTGGAAGGGGCATAAAGGAAAAGGGTAAAGGTATATTTTATTCAGCTACTAAACCTGAATGTTGTTCAGTTGGAGCTACTACGTCTTGGTTTGTAATGTCTTTTAACATTTTAATTTTTAAAAATACATCAACTTATTTCCAAATTTGGACTACATAAATGGGGTGAGGAAGCTTTAAAACGGATTCAGTTTTAGCAGCGTATCTGAAAGCATGGTCTGCACCTTGTCATTGTTTTTTAGCCTACATTAAATCTCTCTTTTCTCAACTGCAGGTCAACATTATCCCAATCGTTGCCAAGTCGGATGCCATCTCCAAGAGTGAGCTGGCCAAGTTCAAAATCAAAATCACCAGTGAGCTGGTCAGCAACGGAGTCCAGATCTACCAGTTCCCCACTGATGACGAGTCGGTGGCAGAGATAAACTCCACCATGAATGTGAGCATCACAGCTACTTTTTTATTTACGCAGGGTTCCCGCAGATCAGTAAAAAGTCTTAAATAACATTAAATTTATTAAGCTAAAAATAAGGCCTTCATTGGTATTAAAATGTCTTGAACCAATCTTTGAAACGTCTTAAATGCTCAGATGTGAGAAGTAGGATTTTGTTGGTACAAGGCAACGCATACGAGTCTCCGTGTATTTGGTGCAAAATGTTTTTCAAACTTGGCATGATGGGAGTCAAGGCAGTGGAATCCCACATGCAGAGTGAAAAACCAAAAAAAAAAGGAAAAGTCGCCAACAAACACCAGGTATTTCCCAGTTCGGTTCTTCCCTCCTCTTTTGGCAGAATTTTCGCTAACCCTAAGTATTTGATGTTGGTTCATATGTTTTTTTCTTCAGTTTCTGGTATTGTAAAATTGGTCTTACATTTCATACCACTTGGCATTAACAAAATCTTAAATCTAACTTGCTTTAAGCTGTAGAAACCCTGCTGCATCACCTACTTTTACACAGAATATGTTATTTAGTTCACATTAGAGATGTCGTGTAAGGTCATGTTTGTCAGACTCAAACTTCAATTTTATCTCAAGGAAGAACAGTATCATACGCAACACATTTCTTGTAAGTTTTAGCACAAATTCTGTTATGTGTTACCGGAAGATGTGATGTAGAATCAGGACAGGCAGAGTCTGTGTCTGCTGAGACAGCCAGGATGCCGCCCCATGCAGGGAGGAGTGTGTTCAGGGGAGCACAGTCTGCAGCTCACTCTGCAGGAAGCCGGCAGTGTGGGAAAGGGCCTGTGCTCACTGACAGATGAGCCAAGCGGCTCACTCAGCTGTTTATGAGATCTGATCTGTGGAAATGCCTGAACTCACCCTAAATGACTGTGTTAGACCGTTGCCTCTGGGCTGTTGTTGTACAGTCTGACCACGACTCTGTTCTGATGAAAATGTCATACATCTTCCTGTCAGAGCTGCTTCTTGGTGTCTGTGAAAATTGGCCCTTAATGGTCAGGTCACGTAATGAACACAACACATTTTCCTCTCTTTTCTCAGTCATGTTGACACTGTTTAGAAACGTATACTTAGTATTTGTGAATGAGATAGTTGCAGTAATTCTCTCTGATTTGTGAGTAATGACATGTTAGCAGAGCTGCAGCATGTATGTACAAATTTATCAGTGGTTTCTGATGAGAATTGAGTTGAATCAGCACAGCTCTCAGGCATGTTTCACAGTATACCAACGCTGCTTTCCCCTCTGCTCCACAGAGCCATTTGCCATTTGCCGTGGTGGGGAGCACAGAGGAAGTAAAGATTGGGAACAAGATGGTGAAGGCCCGGCAGTACCCCTGGGGAACAGTTCAGGGTAAGCCTAGGTCACATCCTACACAGGAAATGAGAGTATGCTCCCTCTCGTCAGAGCTGCCGCAGCTACTCCCTCCCCCATCATAGTCCTCCTCAGCTCCGACAGCTGCTGCAAACTCGTTGATAACCTGTTATATAACCTCATTTAGCAGCAGCACCCTCTCTGCCATCACACTGTGTTAGAGCTGCAGCAGCTTTTGGTGCCTACAGATTTTTATGTCACTAGCAGTGTTTTAATTGATTTGATCAATCCATAATTGAGTCTTTGCAATGTGTTGCAAATACATCACAAGTAGATTGATAGTTAAACTGAAATGTGTGGCAAAGCTCATGTTTCACTGATCGGCTCTTTAGCGATTTGATACTAAAACATTTTAACAGTTATCAGAATAGTTGCAGTTTCATATTATGCAGACTGACTAATCAATCTCTAGTACTGTGTTCCAGCAAATTGGATTTAAAATGTATTGTTGCCCACAAGGTTGACTGTCATTTGCTTTAGCTCTAATTCAAAGGTGTTTACATCCACATCCAATGATCCATGTAGAAATCAAAGCCCTTTTTATACACAACACTGGAGGGTGAATCAGGCTACGGTTTCTACACTGTTTACCCAATATGGATGTGAACACAGTCAAACAGCCCCGTCAGCACTTTAACCTCAAAGCCATTGTTTCATCTAAAATTCAATGTGTTGAGTTACAGCCAAAACAATGAAAAACATATCACTGTCCTAACGCTTACAGGCTGCACTGACTGTATTATATTTCTGGCCAGGGGCTTTATCTGACATTGTTTATCAAAGGCCGGCAGTGTGCGTGCATACTCACATGATGTCACATGGTCTGTGGGAGTGTGGTGAGTGTGGTGCTCTGCCCAATAACAAAATCAATAGATGAACCACAGGACATGAACACTGCTCTTTTCTGTTCTTCATATACAGGTACTGTTGGTAGCACTGGGTCTTTGAAATACTCTCCTTGTTTAATACATGAGACTGTTGCTGTTAGTTAACATAAACCGTAAAGTTGGGGTAGACTTTCTTGTGTCACTGGGGAAAAAAGTCCAAACTTTGAGCATATTGTGATTCAAGTGGTCTGAGAGAACACTAGACTTCAGCACCTCCTTGTGGCTCTTTTTACAGGAAAAAGTCTAGCCCATGGCGGGAAAGTTTGGCGAATCACAGGTTATTTCAGAGAGAGGGCTGTTAGATAAGGTGCACATTCAGATAGTGAAAGCCTGATTCACTGGTGGTAAATCCTGCAGAAATGTTGCTATCCCTGCATTGGCAACACACTGCAAAGCAACTAGGGATGTCAGTTTTGGTTAATATTGCTTTTGATAGCCTGACACCCATCAACCAGTAACTAACCGGTTAATTTTCAGGAAGAAAACTAAATAATGTGAAATAAGAGAGGCCTTTCCTTTTAGTGTAGTTAGTCTAATTAGTCATTTTGTGCTGCAAAACCTTTTTACCATTGTTGACTATGTTAGTCCCACTAGTTGTGCTGACACTGCTAATGGTGCTAACAGAGCTAACGATGATGCTAAAGTTGCTTTGTGGCTTGAATTTGAGCCACTTACTCATTGGGTTAACGTGGGGAGCGACCACCGGGTGAGCAGAATGTTTCCACAGCAACTCTGTTATGTCGGGATGGTGTTACTAGCAGTGGGCACTATGTTTCAGCATGTTGACGCAGCTACGTGACTGGCTGTCTCCCACCAGATCCAGGTGGTGCGCAGTGCAGTAAACTGAAGATTACCAGAATTAACCTGCAAACAAACACGTGTAACCGGTCAAAAATATTCTTTGCTATTAATTTGTTAACAGTTAACCACTGACATCCCTAGAGGCAACACAAAAAAGGAGGACGGACCTATTAAAAAGAGATTCTAAATGAGTGTCATATATAGGCAAAGCAATATAAGCAAAGTGTTTCAAAGATCTAGAGAAAATGTTGCTAAAACTTTAGCCTTTTGCTAACCGGAGCCAAAGGCTCACAGCTGCAGCAAATTCAGGTTCATGTTAAGATAGTTAGCAAGAGCGTTGAATCACAGTGTCAGCTCAAAGGGCTTTACATGCCCACAATTTCGCAAAGTAAACAGGACAGTAATTCTTTTAGAAAGGCTGCTATATAACGGCATCACACTCAGAATGATGGACAGGTTACTGTATAAAATGTGTACATATCTTCTTGTTCATCTGGTTTGAGAGGCGTTGGACTGAGAGTGGAAAGCTGAGAGTGGAGAGCTGCAGGAGGATTGTATTCTTGTATTTGTATTTTATCTCACTAGGTTTTTTAGGAATTGTGTGTTTCTGTGTTGTGTTGTGTTGTGTTGTGTTGTTTGTTGTATGAGCAACGTCTAAGACGATTTTCTGTCATGCCAGACAATAAAGCTTTTCTGATTCTGATTCTGATTCTCAAACTGTGGCTTTTTTGCCTTTGTCCAAAAAAAACCTACCTATCCTGGCTTAAGTGATGCAAGATTATCTGATTTTTGTTACTTTACTCTCATTGCAAATTATAAATTATATAT